CAACAACAACACACAGGGCGCCCTCTGACCCCGGAAGGACACATCGTCGCAGCGAGAGGGTGTTACCCGTCACTATGGTAACATAAACAAAACATAACTGTAAAAACAGAACCCCGAACAGCCCTGACCCGCTACATAGCCCCCACCTAAGGGGTCAGTCGTCCCCGACGACCCCATTACCCCACACAAAGTCCTGCAAATGTCCAGGTGCCTTCTTTTGGCGCACCGGCCGGTCTTGACCAGCGGGGGAAAAGTCACTCGGGTCAGAACATGGGGTGCCACCAGCATCCCCTGCCCCGGCGTCTGCCGGAGCGAGCGGTCGGTACGGTGAGAGCCTGTACCGGTGCAACACCACCATAGGCCCCAGGCCCGGCATGCGGATGCGGTAGACCACCGCTCCACGACCTCCGCCGGCCCTTGCCAGTGACTGCACAGTTTGGGGGACACTCCTCTCTTGCGGACTGAGCAGTATACCCAAACCTTGTCGCCTGGCATGAAAACCCCCCCTCGGCACTTGGTGTCGTAGGCTCTTCTCTGTCGTACTCCGGCGCTTGCCAGGGCCTGGCGGGTGTAGTCATGAACCACCTGCAGCCGCTCCCTCGGCCTCCTGTAGTAGTCCATCTCTGGCCCACCATCAGCGTCCGGAGCTCCTGTCCAAACATCAGAGCGGTAGGTGTGCACTGGCTGGACTCCTGAACCGCAGTCTGATACGACCAAAGGACCAGGGGAAGATGTCGGTCCCAATCCCGCTGGTGGCGGCTGGTGAGAATGGCGAGCTGGGTGGCCAGCGTGCGGTTGAAGCGCTCAACCAAGCCATCGCTTTGTGGGTGGAGCGGTGTGGTTCTCGTCTTCTCCACACCCAGCCGCCGGCAGATCTCCCCGAAGACCTTCGATTCGAAGTTAAGCCCCTGGTCACTGTGGAACTCAGCCGGGACCCCAAAACGGGTGAACATCTCCTCCACCAGCTTCTTGGCCGTCGTCATTGCGCTCTGGTCCGGCACCGCGTAGGCCTCTGGCCACTTCGTGAAATAGTCCATAGCCACCAACACATAC